AGATGATGGTCACCCTGCTGGGGGCATGTGACTACCTTTGAAACTGGCTTTTTGCAGCCAAATCTGCCATGTGGGTCCTGCAGAGCTCAGACATTGAGAGCCATGGGCAGCCCGGTGCCATGGTCACCCTGTGCAGTGGGTGCAGTGGGGCTGCAGCCTTGGGCTGGACAAGGAGTCCCCATCTGATCCCAAGTCCATCCTATAGGAAAAGCTCCTCAGTCCCTGCATCCCTGCACAGATTCCCCCTTGAGGGCCTGTCTGGGAACCAAACACGCCTAGTCATTAAGCAGGGACCTATGGCTATTGCTGCCCACCACCACGTGTCCAGGATGCTCACCACGGCTGTAGCAAGCCTATGGCACTGGGGCAAGAAACTGTGGGATCCTAGCATAAGGAGTTGCACAACCCTAATGCAAGGAGCCCCTAAACCCTAGCGCAAGGAGCCACTAAACCCTAGTGCAAGGAGCCCTTAAACCCTAGCGCAAGGAGCCACAAAACCCTAGCGCAAGGAGCCCCTACACCCTAGCGCAAGGAGCCCCTAAACCCTAGCGCAAGGAGCCCTCAAACCCTAGCGCAAGGAGCCACTAAACCCTAGCGCAAGGAGCCACTAAACCCTAGCGCAAGGAGCCACTAAACCCTAGTGCAAGGAGCCCTCAAACCCTAGTGCAAGGAGCCCCTAAACCCTAGTGCAAGGAGGCCTTAAACCCTAGTGCAAGGAGCCCCTAAACCCTAGCGCAAGGAGCCCCTAAACCCTAGCGCAAGGAGCCCCTAAACCCTAGTGCAGGACCCAACCCTAGTGCAAGGAGCCACTAAACTCTAGTGCAAGGAGCCCTTAAACCCTAGCGCAAGGAGCCCTTAAACCCTAGTGCAAGGAGCCCTTAAACCCTAGTGCAAGGAGCCCTTAAACCCTAGCTCAAGGAGCCCCTAAACCCTAGCGCAAGGAGCCCCTAAACCCTAGTGCAAGGAACCCTTAAACCCTAGTGCAAGGAGCCACTAAACTCTAGTGCAAGGAGCCCTTAAACCCTAGCGCAAGGAGCCCTTAAACCCTAGCTCAAGGAGCCCCTAAACCCTAGCGCAAGGAGCCCCTAAACCCTAGCGCAAGGAACCCTTAAACCCTAGCGCAAGGAGCCCCTAAACCCTAGTGCAAGGAGCCCCTAAACCCTAGTGCAAGGAGCCCCTAAACCCTAGTGCAAGGAACCCTTAAACCCTAGTGCAAGGAGCCCTTAAACCCTAGTGCAAGGAGCCCTTAAACCCTAGTGCAAGGAGCCCTTAAACCCTAGCTCAAGGAGCCCCTAAACCGTAGCGCAAGGAGCCCCTAAACCCTAGTGCAAGGAGCCCTTAAACCCTAGTGCAAGGAGCCACTAAACCCTAGCGCAAGGAGCCCCTAAACCCCAGTGCAAGGAGCCCTCAAACCCTAGTGCAAGGAGCCACTAAACCCCAGTGCAAGGAGCCACATGACCCCGGTGCAAGGAGCCACTAAACCCTAGTGGAAGGATGCGCAGGATCCCGGTGGGAAGAGCTGCTCCAAGACCCATACAACCGGGCTGCAGCACCCGCGCCCTGCGCCGCCTTCACCCCCGTTCCGGAGGTGGAAAAACCCGTTTTTGGGGGAGGAAATCACCGAGCCCAGCCCCGGCCGTGCCCGAGGCGGGGACTACAAGTCCCGGCAGGCGCGGGCAGCCCTGCCCCGCTCCGGACTACAGCTCCCGGCGTGCTGCGGAGCGGAGCGGGCCGAGCCGAGCCGAGCCGAGCCGAGCCGGCCGGGCGGTGCTGCCCTCCCTCGGTGCGGGAGCAAGCGGGGCCGGGCCGAGTGGAGCCGAACGGAGCCGAACGGAGCGGAGCGGTGCCGTGCCGACTCCCCGCAGCCACCGAGTGAGTGCCGCGGACGGGGCGTACCGGGAGTGGGGGGGACGGACGGACGGAGGGACCCCATCTCGGGGCTCTTTGAACTCGCAGCCGCGGGGTTGGGTCTTGTTTGCGCTCCTTTGCTGTGAATATTAACGTGTTCCCCGTCCCATCCCGGCCCCCACCGGGAGCAGCTCCAAGGCTGGGCAGGGATCGGGGGGGGTCTCCGGCCGCTTGGTTGAGTGCCCCCCGCATGGAAAGAGCCCCAGGAGGAGATTTGCCAGGGTCGCCTTTACCAACCACCCCCCCCCCCCCCCCGCACCCTTTACCCTATGAGAGGAGAAACTGAGGCACGGATGCAGCAGGCCCCGATGCGCGGGGTGGTTTGGGTGCACTTTGGACAGGGTGCAAATCCCTTCCTTTGTGGGGTGCAGCAGAGTGGGGTCCCCCCCGGAACTGTCGTCCCCCCCCCCCTTGCTGCTTTGGGGGTGTGCAGAAAGAGTTGGGGTCTCCCCCATCACACAGCTTTTAGGGGGTTACCAAGGGGGTTGCGACTTGCTCCTCTGGGGCAGCAGGAGCCGGGCAGGGGCTGCACTTCACCTACAGCCGCCGATTAATTTGTATTCATGACTTAATTGCGAAGCAGGAAGGATTACGACAGCCCTCATGGCCGTGTCCTCTAGAGCCTCAGTGAGTCAGAGGATGGGGAAATCTCCTTAAAGCCCCCAAAATACCGTAGGAAAGAGAGGGGAAAGATGGTGGGTATTGTTGTTGTGCTGCTCTAAGATAAATAAATCAGCCTGTGCGAGTCCGGGGCCTGTTTCCAGGAATCCCGGCGCTTCTGCGCGTTCCCGTCCCATGGGGCACGGGGGGGCTGTGATTTGTTTTATGTAACAGCAGCGAGCGGGGCAGGCAGAAAGGGCCGGGGTTTGGGGGATCCCTGGTGGGTTTTTCCCCCCTCCTTCCCCCTTTAGTTTTCCCTGCCGTGTTTGCTCGGCTTCATGCACGGCTGCTCCGCGGCCGCAGGCTGGTTTTTCCCTGCTCCGGGTGCCCGTTGAGCCTGCGCTTACCTGCTGCGGGGGGACCCAGCAGGGAAAACCACGCTGGAACTGATGGGCCTTTGGGAATCGGGCTGCTGGAGGTGGGAAACCAGCGGATTTAGGGTATGGGGTGGGTGGTGATGGCTGCGATGGGCAGCGAGTGCCGAGCCCATGGTGTGCATGGAGGGGGAGCCGGTGTGTTTTCCGAGGGATGCTGGCTTTACCTCCTACCCTTATCAGTAGGAAACTGCTCCGGGGTGGAGCTGCCTGCCATGGGGCGACTCCGGCATCTGGGTGTTTGGGATGGATGGAGGTTGTGATTCCAAGCCAGGGCTTTTATTTCTTTTTCCATGCTTCATGGTCCCGGGTTTATGGCCCATATGTTTCTGGTCCCCCCCCTTTGCCCTGCCTGTGCCGTGATGAGGTTTCCCTGTTTGCCCGTTCTTGGTGGTGCTGTGGGGAAAGGGAAGAGCCCTGCGCACGCAGGGACAGAAGGGATGAATCACTGGAGCAGGGGGGAAGTGTCCAGGGCTGCAGTGGGGTAGCCGTGGGGAACGGAACAGCCACTGCAGTGAAATGGGGCTTTGGCGGGGGGCCCTCCTCAAAAGTGTGTGTATTGAGGATAGAAACAGCCCTTAGGTTCGCTGTGGGGTGCTGGGGTATCCGTGTTGAGCTGATGCAGGAGGTCTGAGTGCTGTGTTGCTGGTTATCCCCCTTTCTGGGGGTGTGGATGGGGCCCTTCTGGTGCTGGCTGTGGCACATCCCCATCATCTCTGGGCCTTGTCCCTGGGCGCATCTGGAGTTTGGGTTTTGGGGGTTTGAGTGGGATGGACCTTGAGCTGCACTTGCCAAAAGGGAGCCATTTCATAACCCAGTGGTGTCCTTGGTGTAGGCAGCATCATGGCATCCCATGGCCGCCTTATCCCATGGCTGCAGCCCATGCTGGTGTCAACCCACGGTGGCTGTTTCATGAGGGGTTCCCTGACGCTCTCTTTGCTGTGGGAGATGGACAGGGCTCTTCACAGATACAGGAACTAGTGCTGGGTGCTGACAGTGTAATGCTTGGAGGGACACAAAGGGTGATGTCTCAGTGAACACGCAGGAAATATGTGCTCATCTCTTGGGTTTCTCTTGTCCCCCACTGGTACATCCAGAAAAAGCCCCTGTGGTTCCCCTTTCGAGGTCATGCCCCACCACAGGGTTGGTGCCTGGTTTCGGACCGAGTGGGTTTTCCTTGCTGATGTACATGCAGGTAGGGTCCCATGACATGGCCAGCGCTGGGATGCAGGAGGCTGTGCCCTGTGCTCTGGGATGAGCTCCAGTTCCAGCTCCTTGCCTTGCAGGGAGACCCGCGAGTTGGTTGGAGGTGGAGGCACCAATGAGAACCAGGAGCGATGGGCGCGATGCCGGTGCGATGCCGGCACTGTCCAGCTGATGCTGACAGCCGGATTTGATGGAGCTGTCCCTTCTCCCAGCACCTTCCCCCTTGGTTTCTGTGGAGCAAACAGGCAGCAGAGCAAAGCTATAGATAGAAGAAAGAAAGAGGCAGGAACCACACGATTTCCCTGCGGGCAGAGGAGGAGCACGGGAGGGTCGAGCCCCAAGCGATGGAGGTGAGCTTGAAACCACACCAGGAGCTGCTTGGCTTGGTGCTGGTGGCTGCGTTCACCTGGATGGAGCCTCCTGGGAAGGGCTCAAGGTCTTTCAATGACACCTCCTGCCCCAGCCCCGCGGTCCCAACAGCCTGTGCAAGGAGGCTGTGCCGTCTTATTTTTAAATCCTCTTCTAAGAATCGCTCCCGGGGTTTTGTCACCCTTCCTGCAAGTACATTTGACTCCAAAGAAACTCCCCGCACCCTCCCATTGGCTTAAATCCTCTCCTTCACCTCAACCGGTGCAACTTTCAGTCCGGATAAACCTGAACCGCCCAGGCAGCATCCTTCCCCGCGGTTACATCCCTCTGTTCCCTTCCCATCCACTCACTCCATTAGCGAAAGTGATTTACTCCGGGTGTAAGCAGTTGCAAAGCCAAAGGTTTCCCAGCGCTCAGCCCTGGCCCTGCCGCCCGGCTCTGCTGGGGTTGTAAATTCTCCTTTCAGTGCGCCCTGATCCTCCAGCACAGTTTATGCAGCTGCTGCCTTAGTGCCCAAGCGCCAAAATCATGAGCAGGGCCAAGGGCCAGTCAGTGTTGGCACCTTTGGATCCCCCCACACTAGGAGCAAGCAGAGGGGCTGTGGATGCTCTCTGGTGCAGGGACACTGGTGGCCATGAGCTTGGGGATGGATCAGGGATGCTTTTGGAGCCTCAGGGACAAGTTTCCTTGAGATTTTGGGATGGGGAATTTTGAGGAGGAAACAAGGAGGTGACTGCAGCCACTCCGTGTGCAGGGAGCGATTCCCTGCTCCGGGCTTGTGATCCCCATGGGATGAGGGGAGGTTGGGTGGCAGCTGGGTGCTGGCTGCAGCTCCCACCTTATCTGCATCGGGGTGGGTGCCATGCTCAGCGCCGGCTGAGCTCCCCGGGGACCGCTGCAGCCTCAGGGAAGGTCTCGCCTGGAGAAAGCCCAACCTGGTGGGAAAAACCTCATGGTCAGAACTGGTGCCAGGGAGGCGGCAGCACCCGCAGCCAGGACCCGACCCGGCTGCACCGGCGCGGTGCCAGGGCAGGGGCTGGATCGGCAGCGAGGGCCCCGAGAGCCCAGTTTGACCTTCACAGAGCAGGGAAGCGCTGGGCTGAGCCGGGGCAGGGGGGGAAAGGAGGGGAGAGGAGGAACGCTCTGCTCTGCGGGTAAGCGGTAAGGGTAACTGGGTGCTGCTGGGTGCTGCTGGGGCCGGGATGGCAGCGGGGAGCTCTTGGGGCGGACAAGGCACAGGCTGTCCCCAACTTGTTTATTCTTGGGGTTGGGAAACAGCTGCGGCTCCATGGACGGGGCGGCCGCGGCGCTGGGGCTGGGGCTGGGGCTGGGGCTGCCCCTGGCACTGCGGGAAAGGCGGCTCCGAGGAGGCTCCGGGGCTGGATGGACGTGGGGTATTTATAAATATTACCTCCTTCCAGCAGCACGGGGAGGGAGGAGGAGGAGGAGGAGGAGGAGGAGGGATGGGGGCGGTGCTGGGAGAGCCGCCGGCCCCGGGGTGATGGGGACACGGGGTGGCCGCTGTCCCCTTGTGCCTTCTGCTTGTGGCAAATGGCATCAGTGGGGTGCCCGGAGCTCGAGGGATGGTTTTGATGAGCGTCACCGCTTTTTCTGGGGTGGTTTCTAGGATTTTGGGGTACGTTTTGGCTCTAAATCCCAGCGCTGTGGTGTGGTGCATCTGCGCTGCTGGAATAAAGCTGGGGCGAGGGATGCTGCTGTCCTGCCAGTTCCCATTATTGCTCATTTATTGCAGAATGGTTTGTGTTGGAAGGGACTTTAAAGCTCATCCAATTCCACAGGCAGGGACCCCTTCCACTGGAGCAGCTTGCTCCAAGCCCCTGTGTCCAACCTGGCCTTGAGCACTGCCAGGGATGGGGCAGCCACAGCTTCTCTGGGCACCCTGTGCCAGCGCCTCAGCACCCTCACAGGAAGAGCTTCCTAAGATCCCATCTCAGTGTTCCCTGGGGCAGGTTAAAGCCATTCCCCAGTTCGGGCAGCTCTTGAAACAAAGCCCTCGGGCCCCTCCAAGGTCACCCCGCTCCTGTCCCCGCTGAGAGGCGGATGCGATATGGGGCTGGTTAATCACTCCCGGCCCCGCGCTGCCGTTGGCTCATCCTGGCCCCAGGAACGTCCTTCTGCCTGTTAACACCTTTATTTTTAATTGCAGGGGCTGGGGGGGACAGGAACGTGGCACCGGGGCCTGTTTGCGCCCAAGGGCTGTGAATTCCCCGGGTGGGCAATTGGACAGTGATGTTTCAATCAGGGCTCCTGCATCGCACCAACCGCCCTGGGGATGCGGCTGCGGCCGTGGAGGATCTGGCTCTGCTGTGGTGGGGTCCATAGGGTTCCCCTTCATACCTGCCCTGCTCTGGGGGCTGCCCATGATGCTGGCACAGGGATGCCAGGCTTGTGCTGTGGTGCACACTATCCCCAGCTGTGCAGAGGGGTTTTGGAGGTGAAGGAGAAGCTTTTTGGGGTGAAGGAAAGGGGTCAGAGCAAGGCTGTGTGTTATTAACCCCATAATGGCTGCCCTGCACAGGTAGGCTCTTGTAGATCAACCTCAACACCACCAGAACCAGGGGGTCTTTTCTATTGACCTCATCCATTCTGTGCTGGGAGTGAGACTGTGACAAGGGATGCTCAGCCCTGGCTCTTGGTACCCAGATGCTTTTCCCACCATTGGGTCCCTGACACATCCCAAGCTTACCTGAGCAATTTGGGGGCTGCTTTAGCTGCCTTACAAGACTTGTATAATGTTTTTACTGTGCTGGATACCTGGGCTGCTTCCAGGAGCGGTATTTAACGCATGGAAGGGAAAACACTTGGCCTCTGACCCAAGCGCCTGTTAACAACGTCGCGGTCCACGTTTCTGAGATGCCGGGGCTAAAAACAGTCCCGGTGACTCAGTCTCTATCTGGTGCTGTCAACTGACCCCGGCCTCTATTTGCCAAGTCCCTCCGCCTGCTCCTTCTCCCTTTCAGGGCTGCATGCTCACTGCATGGGGAAGGAGCCTCTGGACAGGGCGAGGGTGGCTCTGGCCCTCCACCTGCCTGCCCCATCTCCTGCCTGCTGGGTGGGTGATGGGGAGGGTGCTGATGCTCTTTGGGGTTGGAAAATGGGGCCATCCCCCCTAGCTTTCCCACCATCCTATCCTCATATCCTCATCCCAGAGCAGCATAGGCTGGATGGGACCTCAGAGCCTCTGGTCCAGCCTCAAACATGTCCAACATTAGTGTTGGATTGGGGTCTCCAAGGTCGGGTTAGATGGGGCCTTGAGCAACCCAGGCTAGTGGAAAGTGTCCCTGCCCATGGACCTGTATGCTCTTTAAGGTCCCTCCCAACCCAAACCAGTCTGGGATTCTGTGATGGAGGTTGCCCCACTGCCAGGCTTTGACCACTGTCATGGTGGGGAACCCCATCCTAACACCCCAGGTCAGACCCTGTCCCAGTGCCCCTTTCTGGGGCTGCGCTCCTCCGTGTGCCGATGGAGATGATACCATGACACCATATGCACGGCATAAATCACCCCACAGCGGCCTCGCTAGGGCAGGGTGAGGGAGCTGCGTGGAGCACATGGGTGCCAGCCGCATTGCTGGCGGGGTGGCACGGCCGCGGCTCGCAAAGGGGACGTGGTACAAAGCAGCTTCGCACACTGGGGCCATAGCAGGGGTCTCCGGCACAGTGCTGGGTGTTTGGGGCATCACACAGGCATCCTTGTTGTCAACCTAGCTGGTATTGGTATCGCCAGCCTGGTGATGGGGATACCAGTGGGGTATCAGATGTGGGTGCTGGAGGGATCCCGTGTGATGCATTTGAGGCTGGCTCCGGCTGTGTAATGCTGATGCTTACTCTGCATCCGCTCCAGGCACACACCCAGAGCATGAGGGGTGCCCATGTGTCCCATCCCCTGACAAAGGGCAGCTTTTGTCCCTCTGTATTTGCATGTCACTGCGGGCAGCACTGCAGCCGCTCTACCTGCAGCTCCGGAGGGGATGCGATGGGGCAGAGCCAGCCTGGGCTCCAGCATCCCAGCGAACCCGGTGGGTCTGGTTTTGCCACGCTGCTTCTCCGTTCAGTCACCAACTCTTGCGTTGCAGTGAGAAAAACAAGCAGGTTTGGAGGGGTTTTTGCAACTTCCCCCCTTTGCACCCTGCGTGGCTGCTGCTGCGTTCAAAACAGGGTCCTGAAAATGAGGAAACGTGGGGCTGGAGTGGGAGCGGGGCTGGCCCTGGCGAGGAGCACGAGGAGCTGTGACCCATGGGCACCCAGAGGTCCCCCCATCCCGCACTCAGGTAACCCCTGCACCATCATCATCCTCCTTCTGCCCGCATTGGGGTGCCAGCGGAGACCCTCATGAGGCTGTGGGGTGGCTTTGGGGGTATCCGTGGGGTGGCAGCTTGGTGGCATCGGAGCTGCCTGCACCCTGCCTGCTGCTTGCCTCGCCATCCCCGCTATATGAAAACGAAGAGGGAGGAAGGAAGAGAGGCTCAGTGGGTGCTTGGTGCTGGGAGCAAGCAGCAGAGCTGCTTTCAGTTCTTTCTTCTTCCTGCCCTCATGGCTCTCTGCAGCAGCCCCCAGCAGCGGGCGGGTGGGCAGCACATCCCCCCCTAACCCCCCCATTCTCTTCCTTCCCTGGGGGTCCCCACTCATGGTTGAAGCTGCAGAATTGATTTTTCCTCTTACAAACGGCCCCGATCGACCAGGAAATAACCAGAACCGATGGAGCGGGGCTGGGCAGGCGGCTCCTCAGCTCGGGGGTCCTCAGCTCCATCTCCAGAGCATCGCTGGGTGAGCGGGAGATGCGTTGTGTTTGCACTGTGGGTGCCCATGGGTGCTGCTTCCCTGTGGGTGCCGGGCAGGGAAACGCGATCCCATGTATTTCACAGGGGCTAAATCTGGAAGCTGCCTCACAGTAGCTTTTATTTCTAACCCACACCTTGGTGCAGCGATGGGACCGGGAGGGAGGGAGACTTTGGGTGTTTGATGCATTGGGGTGGCCCTGGGTACCCAGACTGGCTCTCTGCAGCCGGTCCTGCAGCATCTCTGCCCCATACATTGTGGAGCAGCTCCCACTCTCACCGCAGAGCTCGGTTGTCACAGCCTGGGTTATGGTGCCATTGGGCTCTCAGAGGGATGGGGGGCACCATGGGGCAGAGGCAAGTGTCAGAGCAGCTCTGGGCATCCTCCATGGAGAACCGCCCCCAGCACAGGGGGAGCGTGTTGGGCTCTTGGTGAAATAACACCCCCAGAGGAAAAGCAAGAAAGGTCCAGAAATAACCGTGTTGCTAAACAGCACCAGAGATATTTTGAAGGGAGATTAATTCCCTGGCTCCGGCCCCATGCGTTGTCCCGGTGGTGGGTCTGGAGTGTGTGTGGGGGCACGGTTTCCACTGGAGGAGCTCTGGCTTTAGGGTTCGATCCTCTAACAAAGCAGGATCAGCTTTTCCCTGCATCCCAAGGAGGCAGGGTCAGGCAGTTTGCAGAGCACAGGTTGAGTTTCCTTTGGGAAATCCATCGCTTTTCCATGTGCTGGGCATGGAAAAGCCACTCTGTGTCCCCCAGACAGGAAAGGTGGAGTTTGGATGTGGATACAGGCCAGAGCCATCCACCCTTTCCCTGCTCCCTCGTGCTTTCCCGCCCCTCTTCTCCCTCTCCATCCCTTTCCTGATGCTCCATTGCCCGCCCTGGCTCTCCCACCACTTTCCTCCCTCCCTTCCCTGTCCATGACAGATGGGGACGACCCCAGCAGGTGCCCTGGCAGCTCCCACCAGGAAACCCAATGCCCAGGCATTCCCTGGCCCACGGTGCTGCCTGCTCTGAGCCAGGCCAACCACTGCCCATGCACTGGGACAGACCCTCACTGGGGTCTTCTCTGTGTGGGGACTGGGGCTGCCTTGGCGCAGGGGTGCATCCAGCTCTGCTCTGCTTTATCCGGGATACTAACTTCCTTCCCAGGAATAACAGGCATCGTGGATGGAGCCACCGTCCCACTTGCTTTATTCCTGCCCCCTGGACCACAGGATAGCGGGATGTGACCCCAGGGTGGGACGTGTCCCTATGGTGCTGGGGCAGGGTCCCCATCGCTTCCCTCTGGGGCTGACTCAGAGTGAAAGCAGAAGCTGCTCGGCCTTTCGGGGTGTGTGGGGGAAGCCAAGCAGAACCACTGGGGTTATTTTAAACCTGACCTAATTTCCCCCCTCTCCTTATCTGGCCGGGCTCAGGCCACCCTTGCTCATCCTCACCCTCGGCAGCTCCTCTTCTCGGGAGCACTTCCCCTGTTTCCTATAAGGGGCAGTGGGGATGTCCTGTGGGGTGGTGGGATGCTGCCATCCCTCCACAGCACAATGCCTCATCCCATCTCCATGTGGCTCTTGGAGGCTTTTCCCCTCACCCTGCCCTTTATATCCGGGGTTATTACATCTCCCATGGGCACCAGCTGTGATTTATCCCCCTTCACCCTTGGTGTATCCTCTGTGGGCCGTCCCAGTGTCATTGGGTCCTTTTGCAGCCTCTGCTCTTGCTCATCTCATGCATCCCCATGTGCCCTCCTCTGAGGCTGTTTGTGATGAAGCCACAACTGCTGTCCCACGTTCCTCGTCTCCCATCCCCCTCAGATGGGCCACCCTGTCTAATTAATTACCTTCCTCTTGCTGTTCAATAGCTGGCTCTTGATCTATGTAATGTATTGCTGTCCATGCTGGCTTGATTTAATTTCCCCCTTAGGATACCGCGTGGCACTGCATATCGGATGCCTCACCGACACCCTGGTGTGCTGGATCCTCTGCGGCCCCTTTGTGTGCAATTACACCTTGTATTTAAATGCAAACCCCTCCAGATTTGCCTGGTTCCACTGGGTGTTTCCTCCTGTTCCCCTGCAGTGTTCACTCTGCGTCCTGCGGGTGCTGTGGTCCAGGCTCCATCCCGTACAGCATCTCCCGCATCCCCATCCCAGCCCTGCGTGGGAAAGCCACCCTCATAGGGCTGGGGCTCCTCTTCCCCCCCCTCCATGGGCTGCTGTCCCCTTTGTACGGGGGAACAAGGGCCGGTCTGTGCGGAGCGGGGGCCTCGCAGCCTCCCCCCAGCGCCGCGCTCGCGTGCCGGCCCCGCACAGAAGCTGCCTTGTTCCCCCCGCGCCTCAGCAGGGGCTTCAAGGCTGAGGGTTCAACCCTGCCCCTGGCTCCTGGCACCCTCCGGCCTTTTCTTCCTGTTCTTCCCTTGCTTTCTCTTTCCCTTTCGCTCCGCTCCTGGGCTCTGATTTATTCCCGTCCCTTCGTGCTTTGCTCCAGTGTTTGGAAGTTGGTGAACCCAGCAGTACGTGAGTCCAGACCTGACGGGTGCAAGGGTCCTGGCTGCCCCCGCTTGTCCCCTTCTGGGAGCCCCAGTGGTCCCCAAGGAGAGGGATGGCATGGTGGGGAGCTCCGGTGAGAGAGCAGACCCGTCCGGCCGGCATGGGGATGGTCATGGGTTAGTCACAGCGGGTATGGGTGGGACCGGGTGTCTGCGCCCTCCCCGTGCCTCAGTTTCCCTGTTACTGAGGTGCCGTGTCCTCCTCTCAGGGTCACCTCCGTGCTTGGCGGGCACCCGCATCCCACCCCCCGGAGCACCATGGCGTCCCGCATCGGCCTGCGGATGGAGCTGATGAAGCAGCAAGCGCAGCAGGAGGCCGAGAGGGAGCGCATGCAGCAGCAGATGATGATGAACTACATGCAGCAGCAGCGGATGCCGGTGGCCTCCACCCCGGCCATCAACACCCCTGTCCATTACCAGTCCCCACCGCCTGTGCCTGGAGAGGTCCTCAAGGTACGGTGCTTGGGTATCCCGGCAACCAGTGGGGATGAGGGGATGCGGGGGACCCCTCAGGGTCCCTGATGGTTGGTCTCCTCCTCGCAGGTCCAGTCCTACCTGGAAAACCCCACCACGTACCACCTGCAGAAGTCGCGGGATAAGAAGGTTCAGGCTTATCTCTCTGAAACCTATGGGAACAAGTTTGCTGCCCACGTCAGCCCCGTCAGCCACTCTCCCAAGCCACCCCCCGCTGCATCCCCTGGTGTCCGAGCCAGCCACGTCCTGTCCTCCTCGGCGGGCAACAGCGCGCCCAACAGCCCCATGGCCATGCTCAACATCGGCTCCAACCCGGAGCGGGAGGTGAGGAGATGCCCCCGAGCTGCTGGGGGATGCAGAGGGGCTGGAAATGCAGGCAAAGCAGCGCATTGGCACCGTACACCTTTCCCTTTCAGTTTGATGAGGTCATCGATGACATCATGCGCCTGGATGACGTCTTGGGCTACATGAACCCTGAAGTCCACATGCCCAACACGGTGAGTCTCTGATGCGCGTTAGGAAGAGATCAGGCCTGGTCTGGCAACCCCGTGCTTGCAGGTGGCACAGAGGGGACCCATCCTGCCACATCCCTGCGGTGGTGCCAGCCCAGGTTTCGCAGCCATAAGCTTCCTCAGAGCAGCACCGTCTCCCGGGTCACATCCGTGTGGCAGCTTGTGCCTCCCAGTGGTACTCGTCCTGCTGAGCCCTGCTTGGATGTGATTCATCTGCCCTATTTTAGCTGTTGGCTGTGGGAGGGGATCAGCTGCGCCCTTTGAAGTCCTGGTTTCTTTGCTGCTCTGATTATAGCTGCTTTAAGAGCCTAGGAAGATGATTCCACCTGCCCGGGCTACGCACTCGCAGCCCAGAGGCCAAGGAGCCGGGCTTGCGCCCCGGTCCTGCAGCCCCGCATGGAGCTAACCCCCCTGTGCCTCTGGTTTCCAGCTCCCGATGTCCAGCAGTCACATGAATGTCTATAGCGGGGACCCCCAGGTGACAGCCTCCCTCGTAGGTGTCACCAGCAGCTCCTGCCCCGCTGACCTCACCCAGAAGAGAGAGCTGACAGGTACGTCCCCAGCCCAGAGCTGGTGGGGTGATGGCCCTGTCCTGTGGGTGGGGAGGGCGGCTCTGGGGGTGCCGGGGTGCTCGTGGGGTCAGATGCAGCCTTGTCCCCTCTGGGTGATGGTGCGGTCTCGATTGCAGATGCTGAGAGCCGAGCCCTGGCTAAAGAACGCCAGAAGAAAGACAATCACAACCTGAGTGAGTTCGGCGCTGGCTGCTCGGGGGTGATGTGGCTTCCCCTGTGCCACCCTGCAGCCCTTTCCCCATCACTCCTCATTCTCATTCCCCGTCTCTCTGAGCTGGGTCCCCCTTCCCATCCTCACAGCCCCCTGCCATGGATCCCTCTTTCCCATCCCTGCCAAATACCTGCGGTGCAGGAGGCACCCTGTTGTCCTCATTGTCACCGGGGGAAGGTCAGACCTGATGGGGTGATGGGTGGGAGCATGGTGCCAAAGGGCTGACCCCAGAGGTTTCTCATCCTGAGACCCCAACTCCAGAGGGTCTGCCCAGGGCATGGTGGTTGCTCCCAGCCCCACGAGCCAGGAGCAGCAGCGTGGTCAGTGGGGGCTGTGGGGCTCCTCCTGCTCCTGTTGCCTCCTTCACCACCATCCCTCTCTTCTCACCCTGCAGTTGAGAGGCGGCGAAGGTTTAACATCAACGACCGCATCAAGGAGTTGGGGATGCTGATCCCCAAGGCCAACGACCTGTACGTACCCGTGTGGGGCTGGGATAAGCGTGGGTCTCAGGGGCGAGGGTTCACGTTGCTGGCACGCAGGTGGCAATCTCTGTTTCCATCCTGCCCGGCAGGGACGTGCGCTGGAACAAAGGGACAATCCTGAAGGCGTCTGTGGACTACATCAAGAGGATGCAGAAGGACCTGCAGAGGTCACGGGACCTGGAGAACCACTCGCGGCGTCTGGAGATGACAAATAAGCAGCTGCTGCTCCGCATCCAGGTGAGCTTCCCTGTGCTCTTCCCTTTGCTCTGCTCCAGCCCCACGAGCAGCAGGGGCTCTCCTCCCTCTCGCTGCTGTCAAGCCACACCGGGAACAAAGTCTTCAGAGGACCTGACCGCAACGAGTGTTGCTGAGCTTTGTGTGGGTCACCATTTTCCACCCTTCACCTCTTCCTTGTGCTGCTCCCCAGTGAGCTGCTCGCTCCCTCTGTTCCTGCCGCCTCCGTGGGTGACATCCCCACCAAAGACCTCCTGTGCTCTGTTGGCAGGAGCTGGAGATGCAGGCACGCATCCACGGGCTGCCCACCTCCTCGCCCTCGGGTGTCAATGTGGCCGAGCTGGCTCAGCAGGTCGTCAAGCAAGAAGCCAGTGGGGATGAGGGGACACTGGAGCCACTGCTGCCCGCCCTGGACCCCGAATCGCAGCCGCAGCCCGCGCTGCCTCCACCACCCCAGTCTCCCTACCACCAGCTGGACTTTACCCACAGCCTGAGCTTCGACGACGGCTCCCAGGGCTTCCCAGACAGCCTGGAGCCTGGCCACAGTGCTTCCTTCCCATCCCTATCCAAGAAGGAGCTGGACTTGATGCTGATGCAGGACACGATGCTGCCTCTGGCCTCCGACCCCTTGTTCTCAGCCATGTCCCCGGAGGCCTCCAAGGCCAGCAGTCGCCGGAGCAGCTTCAGCATGGAGGATGCTGACATGCTGTGACGAGGAGCCGACGCTGGGGCGAGGACCGGACCTTCGGGTTTGGTTGGTGAAGTTACCGGCCCCTCTTCCCATAGGAGGAGCCCGTCCTGCCGCGCACTTGAAGCTATGTAGGAGTGAGGAGAACCTTTTCTCTATGCAACGGGGGGGCTCGGAGCCAGGCTCCCCGGGTGCCGCCGTGTCTTTCGCAAGCTTTTCTTTGGCCGGGAGCTGGAGCAGACCTTGCCTTGCCCTGGCGTTGGCCTGACTGCAGATTCCACAGCCCCGGAGCCTGGGTCTCGGCTGCTTTTGCCTTTCAGCACCCCCCTGCCACACCGAACCCGTTCCCCAGGGCGCTGCTCAGAGCCCAAGGAGCCTTCCCTGGGAGGAGAGGAGAGGGACGATGCTCAGAGCTTTGTGTCTGCCTTGCTGCCTCCTGGAGCCTCCATCCTCAATGAGCCTTCCCCATCCTCTGAGCCCCATGGATGCTTCCCTTTGCCACGTCCTTCATGGTTCCTCCTTCCTCAGCGCGCTCCAAGGTGTTAACTGGAGCACGTTAATCCATGGGGCACCGGTGTTGTCTGAGGCTGTGAGTTTGGGGTTGACATTGAAGGCTTCCAAAACAACCAGGACAGGGTGTTTGATGCTTGGTCAATGATTGCTGTGGCCTGACCCCTGCCTCCTCGGGCTTTGGCAGCATCCACCACCCTAAAACCTCACCAGCCTCTGGACAAGGGCTGCATGGTGCCGGGTGATGTTCTGCCTCCCTTGAAACAGCCCCACAGAGGTGCCTCTGCCCCATAACCAAGCCCTGGCTCTTCAGGGGGAAGGATAAAGGGGTTTTTATGCTTTTCCTTGGGGATATTTGTGGCAAGCAGATGTCCTGCCCCACAGCTGGGCATGGAGATCAGGGAATGGTTTGTGCCAAACCTGAGCTGCTGCTTCCTTTGCCTTTGGCTTGTGGGGTTTATTTCTGTTCCCAGCATCACCAGCTTATTCCGCAGCCAGGATGCCTCGGTGATGGGGACCTGCTTTGGGCTCTGTCACTTTCTGCCTTCACAGCCTGGCTCAGGGGTGGGGTGGGGTGGGGGGAATGACACTGTTCATAGGGAAGATACCACAGGAATTTTTTCAGGGAGAGGAGGGAAGGCCGGGGAGAGGAGACCCCTTTGGGATCCTGCCCCATAGCCCAGCATCCTGGACCAGGGATGGGGGATGCTGCTGGGTTGGGACAGCAAAGGGAAGGCCCAGCCAAGGAGGGACAAGCTCCATGGTGGCTGGATTTGGGACTGGGAGGTGGGGAACAGCCCCGGTGCCCCCTGCAGAGGTGCCTATGGGACATGAGGGTGTGGGGAAGTGCAGAAGGTGGGGAGGAGAGGGGGAGAGGACAAGGGAGGATGCATTGGAGGTGTCTCAGGGTGCAGGGAAGGGAGCAGACATCGGGTGTAGCTGGGATTGGGGCTGCTCCCCACTGCGTGCTCCCGGGAGGCCTCGGCATCCTTCCTGCACTGCCATTAGTGCCTGTAAAGAGAAGCATCCCCGGGCAGGGCGGCAGCACCCACACGCTGCACTCAGGACATGGGGTTACCTCTGGGTGTAGGGATCCATGGACACCAGAGGGGCTGTGTGGGTGCCTCAGGGTGGGATACAGCTCCCTGCTCGCTTGGGATTACTGTGGCTATAGGGTGGCTCTGCTGGTGGTACCCAGCACATGTGGGGCCAGCATCCTGCTCCGGCACTGTCTGCTGCCAGCACAGGATGTGGCATCTCCCCTGAGGAAACAGTTGTGGATTATTTTTTGTTGTTTTTAATCTTTTGGGGGGTTTGTTTGGTTTTTTTTTTTAATGCACTGTGCTCTGATTAAAAGATTTTACTACTGTTTTATAAATAAATATATAAAAGAATGAACTGGAATGGAAAAAGAATCATTAAAATATATTTATTTACAACATCCCCGAGCGCTGCAGTGTGGGCTGTTTGTTCTTGGCCTGCAGGAGGGAGGGAGCCAGAGCCCCTTTCCCCATGGGATACCGTGGCCATGCCAAAACAGGGGCTGCTGCAGCATCCCTGCCTTGCAGCAGGTTGCCTGGGATATGGGGGACTGCTTGGGAGCTGGGATGTATTTTGCTGGCCCAGTTAGAGGGGGAGGCGCTGCTGATCCCATTGTTCAGCTGGTCCCAGGCTGGGTTGGGATGTTTGGGGTCCCTCCGGAGGGATGCTTCAGGGAGGTCCCCAGCTCCCGGTGCTGGGAATTGGAGGTGCTGACCTATCTGCTGATGGCTTAATTGGAACCAGGCTTGGCCCCCTAATTAATAATAGACACAAGGCCCCAGAGAGCTGAGTGGGAAGGAGCTGTGTCCCCGAGGCTGAGCATGGTGCTGGCAATGGGGGTTTGTGGTACCCATCCTGCTCTGTGCTGGGTGAGAGCGATGCTGGCGCCATCCCAGGAGTTCAGGTGTGTTTCCTACCTGTTGGGTGGTGCCTGGAGCAGGGATGGGGCTGGGGGGGGCTTTGCTGTCCCTGTCTCAGTGTGGCTGGCTTAGCATCACCTCTGGGTGCTGTGAAACCCCAATGGGGGCTTGGGCATGGATGCGGGCAGGGTTTGGGGCAGGGTGTTCCCCATAGCTTGTTCGCAGCAAAGGGGCAAATGAACCTTGTGAAGCATCCTGGGGGCTGAGCCCATGCTTTGCAGAACCCATCCCATGCCATGTTTGCAGGCCCTCCACGTGCCAGGTCCCTGCTGCCCCTGCTCCCTTTGGTGACAGCATTAAATACACACACACACAAGGGGAAAATATGGAAAATCCACCTTAAAACGGGCTTCCCAGGATGGGAAACCACGGGGGTGAGACTTGGAAAGTTGATTAGGAGGGGGGGAAAAACGAAGCTGGGGGCAGAGGAAGAGCGAGGAGTTTCAGACCCTTCAAAATCCCCCAGCCCTCCCTGGTTTGATTTATCTGGGGAGCGCCAGCGCTAAATAGAGAACAGCGCCTGAAGTGTGAATTATTTCCTATATTAACACAGGGAAAAACTGATAGCCTTTTCATGTCAAGAGAATAGCGCGGCGGGAGGCAGGGGAGGCGATGACATTGTTCACGCTCCGCGTTTGCTCACTCTTTATCAGGCTGAGATCAAAATTTATTCCCAGGACGAGGCCTGCGGCCCGGCTGAGGCCCTGGGGGTTTTTAAGGGCCTAATTAAGAAAACAGGATGAAAATGGCGAAATAAGAGGGCAATTTACTTCTTGCAGAATAGGGAGATCAAATCAACTTATGAGCAATTAATGTGCACAAGGAGAGAATAAAGGGATGCCGGGATATGGTAGAGGGGCCTCATTTTAATGACATGCTCTGGTGTTGGCATAGAGGATTACTCTGAAGGTCAGATGTAGATTGAAACGACCTTGCAGATTCTTAACCCTCCTTCCAATTAACAGAACCAACTCAGAAATGCAAAAGCCCCTGGCTTGGAGCACTGTCATCCCCTGATGTTCTGAAGGGAGGGGGAGAATGGACTGATAAAGGAGAAGAGAGGACAGAAGGAGGTTCCCTTTGCTTGAACAGCGGCTGCTGGAGCTGGGAGCCGGGGCAGGCGGGAGAAGGGCTCTTAATTACAGTCTGAGCCACCCACGGACAGGGAAAAAGCGGTGTTTGGGCTTCAAGTGGGATATAAAAGGGAGGGCGGGTGTGCTGGAGCTGCGGTGGATGGATGGATGGATGGATGGATGGATGGATGGATGGATGGATGGATGGATGCACGCACGCACGGAGCAGTGGGATGGGTACCGGGCAGCGCGTTGCAGTCATCGCACAGGGGGAGTTTTGGGGTATTATTTGGTGTGTGTCCCCCTCCTCCATCACCGGGTTAGGCCCGGGGACCGGCGGGGCTGCACCGGGGCTGAGCGGCCACCAGGGAGAGCCAGACGGTTGCCGGAGCGAGCGGGGCTCCGCCGGGGCCGCGTCCACCCCGCCTCGCGGTGTCCCCGGTGCCGTCGGAGCGCAGGGAAGCGCATCCCGCCCGTGGGAACCGCTGCAAGGACCGGGCGGTCCCGGGGCTGCTGCCGGGGTTCGCCGGTCCCCAGCACTCAGAGCATCCCCCGGGATCGCTGCCCCCCCGTAAGCGAGAGCATCTCTCCCGGTACCCCCCTCCGGGCCGCGGCACCGTCCCCTCTTTGAAGCAGCTTTGACTTCGACCTGCGTGAAGTGGCAGCAAAAGATGGGAAAAGGGAGAAGCCCTGGATGAGGCTGGAGAAGTGCAGGGGGGGTGAGCACCAGCACCCAAGTGGGATGGGGCCAGAACCCACTGATGGGCTGAGCCGTGGTACCACGAGGATGCAGCCGCATCCCCTTGGTCTGCCCTATGGAAAGGTTTTAGTGATGGGTTGAGTTCATTGATTCTATTATCAGACTGGACCTGTATGGGTGCAAAGGTATGTGTAGAGAGAGTTGTGATCTCCACAGCACCATCCTTTAGTACCACTGCACAGATCTGTCTCCAGTCCCCTTCTCAAGTGATTTGGGCTCTCCAGGATCAAGGCATCCCCTGTATGGCTCCATGGCATCCCTGAGGTGGGACCAACCGGTCCTGTAGTCTGGCAGAGCCCCCCACTGCGGTGCTGGGCTCTTGCTGAGTTTTCCTTCTCCTCCCCATGTCTCATTTCCTTCCTGGCTCTCATGAGCTCCTTCTGTGTTTTGAGCCCTTCTGGTCCTGCTGTTCTGTCCCCATCTGAAGCCCCACTCTTCTGTTGTTGTGGCAACGGTTGGGATGAGGTCAGGAGGGAGGGATGGCTTTTTCAGGTGGGGGAATAGGCAGCGGGGCCACCTTGGCTTGAGAAATCAAAGCAGATCTCTGCAAGTAAATCTTTGCATGCAATAAAGAGGGAGAGACTGGAAAACCTCTGATGCCTGTCCAGAAATAGCTTCCATGGAGAAGGGGCCAGGCTGGTCCCTGGGTGAGTCCCTGGCTCGGAAGGGTTATTCCCTGGATGTGTTTGGCCTGTTGTTTTTCCACCATCAGCTTTGTAAAGCCTTGGGGTAAGGGACCCCTTTGGGCTGTGCATGGAGCCTCTCCAGCCAGTTTGGTGTCTGGTTTTGGGTGCTATAAAGCAAAGGAACAGGAGAGCTGGGGCTGAAGAGTGGTTGGGGTTGTAAGAGGGGTACAGATATGGTGGGAAAAGCCCTGGGAGGAGGAAAAAGAAGGGCAGAAGGACATGGAGAAGATTCATGACTTGGTTTCCTCACCAAGCAGGGGCTGGCTCAGGGAAGGTGACCTGGCCCTTGCCAGCGGTACTGCTGGCAGCTCACATGAAGCAGTGATGCTGGAGCAGGCCCCCTTCCTTGGAGGATGCAATTCCTCAGGCTTGAGCTCCACAGAGCAGATCCCTGGCTCCAGCCCCATGGGTTGGATTCGGCTGGAATGAGAGACAACGGGTAGAGCAGCAGGAATTTGCATCCCCAAGTCTCCACTGGAGCCATATGGCCCCACTCTACCGGCCCTGGCAAAGCTGGGAATTCTGCCAGGGGAGCTTGGCCTGGGATTCCCCATAGACTTAACAGCAGCAGCTC